GGACAAGTGGGAGATTGTTAGGAATGGTGTCCTAGAAGCATAAGATGCAATAGGATATTTATTGTTTATTTAATAAAAAAATTTATTCATCATTTTATGTGTATATATTTGTGAATATTTTATGAATATTAATGAAAATTTCGTGATTATTTATGTAACCTTAAACATTGTATATAAGTGTTATATACGAGAGGATAATGTTTAAGAACAATAATCAAAAAGCAATGTTGATAATGAATTTAATTAAAGTTCAGAATCTTTAATTAAAACATTATTAATACATATCATTCCCATTTAGAATGGAATGGTGTTATCCGCACTGTTAATATGGTGAGATATTGAATGAGTGTATTTCGCATAATGAGATTATGTGGAACAATGACACAAACACACTATGAATTTCTAATAATTTTCGTTAAGCATAGAAATTTTAATTGAGTTTATGGATGGTCATATATAGAATGATCTTAATCCTGAGTTCTTAACAGACTCCTATTTATGGATTTGTGTCTTTTGATTTACTCGGTACGGATTCTGAGATCCTGAATCCTATTCCTTGTATTTTGGAGACATGATGAAGTAGGTAGCCGGGAATGTTATTACACGAGATGGAATCCATTCCTTCTTAAGAAAGAAGTACATAAATAATTCTCTTGAGGGTTGATTTGGTACTTGGACCAGTAGGAGCTCTGATTCATGAATGTGTTTTATGAATCACTGTCCATTAGAGAATCAATGATACTCAAGGATAGATATGTAATTAGATAGGTTAACAGATTTTACCTTACTCTAATTATGAATTATTTATGGAGGATCGATCTATATGCAATGACTATATCAAATGGATACTTCACAGTTTAGAAGTAATTTATGTCTATAATTTCGAGTGTGCAATTCCAAGTTTATAGTGGAGTAACTATTGGAATTAATAGAATTAATTAATTAATTAAAGTGTTTAATTGATTATTAATTTTATTAGAGCTCGGGATTATAGGTCCATTAGTCCACGCGTCGTCCTAGTAATTCTACCAGACACATAGGGCAAAATGGGAATTTTAGAATGACTGAATTCTAAAATTAAACACTTGAAAATAATTAATTGAGAATTAATAATTATTTAAATAATGTGATTATTTAAATTTAAATTTGAACACATCTAGATTTATCCATTTAAACTTATTTGATAAGTTGTTCAATTTAGAATTCAAATTAATTTAAGTTGACTTAAATTGGAATTTGAATTTGAGTCAAAATTGGACTACATGATAAATGATGATTTTCTCTTCCTTCCCTATCTGATATTGGCGCCACACAGGGATGAAAATCCTCTAGGGTGGCCGGCCACAATGGATAAGGGATAGATGAGATTTTGTTCCAAAATTCAAATAGAAGATAATTAACAAGCTTTATCTTTGAGATAGAGATTAGATTCCTTCTAGAAGTTTGAATTCTACTCTATAAATAAGAGGATAATAGAAAATTGCGTGATACAATTTTTGGAACAATTTTTTTTCAGCCCTAATTGTTAAGGCTGGCCGAAATTCCCTTGGTAGAAAGGAAGGAAAAATTTTTTCTCTAAAAATTCCACATCGTGCATGCATTGGTGTTTGTGAAAATTCGAGTGTTTATTATAACCCGTTTTGTCTCATGTGTGCCCACACACACGTCTTCGTGGATTCTGGGAATCGACATGGAAGACATTAGTTTTCTAAACATAAAGCTTTGGAGCAAGGATTGTTCGAGGTCAAAGAACTCAAGTTATCATCCAAGTCGGCCTCCAGGTATTTTTCCTAATTGAGTTCTTAATAAATGAATTAATGAGATTAATTTATTCGTGCATAAATTAATATAATCTATATAGTATCTCAAAGGTTTTATAAAAATTTTTGTTATACATGATCCATCTCCCCGCCACGCTTCCGTATCCGAATTCGATTCGGAGATCAACAGTATTTTAAAATGAGAGTCCAAGAATGTGTCCATACACACTTTTGGGTAAAAATTTAAATACTGAGAATATTTTAATACCTTGTAATTATTTAAATTCACTCGTCAGAAACATCCATTAATTAATAACCAATTAATTAATTCCGATCAGGTACACTAATAAATCTTAATTACCTTAATTAATCTCATTTAATTTTCTGAGGTGTTACATAAATAGTATATAAATAATATATTAATATTCTATTAACTATTTAAATAATGAACTTTTAGTTACATAATTAAATAATTAGTTAATTAGTTACTAACATTTATTTAATAATCTATTATTTGATATCTCAATTTTTTATAATTATTCTTTAAATAGTGATGAATTATTAATTATCAATTATTAATTACTATTGATTATAGATTACAATGTATTACATAATTTAATATTGATTATTAATTGAGTAATTACTATTATTTTATTTATCAACTATTTATTATAATTAAAAATGATTGATATATTAATCATTAATTATTTATTTAATAACCTATTATTAATTATTCTATTATTAATATATTATATAATTAGAAATTAATAATTAAATAATTTAATGTAACATTCTTAGTAAGTACTAGAAAATGAAAACAGAAAAGGAAAAACAACTTCTAATCGTTTTCTAACTTCCTTCACAAAAACAATTTTCATTGTTTTTTTGTTTACGTTTTCATTTTCAAAATATTTACTAAACAAACGTGGTGTGCAGATCGTTTTCATTTTTATGCCTTAAAAGACGTGTGAAAACGTTTTAAAAAATAACTAAAAAATAGTTCCAAACGCACCCGTAGATTCGCAAGTTAAAATATTTATCAAAATAAAAAAGAATACAAAATGAGGTGTTTAAAGAGACAATTACGCAAAATACTTTAATTGGAATCAATTAAAAATACAAGATTTAAAAAGAAAAAAAAGAATAAACAAGTGCTAAAGTAAAAATATGCAGCAAAATTTAAATGTGAAGGCAATAAGTTGAAGAACGAAAAGGGCAACATTCACTTCCATATAATCTATAAATAAAAATTTTGATGAAAAAACCATTTAAAATAGAATTAAAAGCAGAAAGGAAAAAAGCTTAAAATACAATTTAAAAAAACAAAAAATGAAATAAAAAGCTTGAAAGCATGCACGCTAACTTGTTAAAGTCTAGGTAAAAAAATTTGAAAAAAATTAAAATTAAAATACAACTAAAAAACATTTTAGTCTTATTTTACCGATTTTTTTTCCCTTTTGTCCTGAAATTTTATTTTATTTTTTGTTTTGGTTCTTTTTGACTTACAACTTATTTATTTCTATATATAGAAACGACACTTCTTTGCGATTTCAACCAATACGGTAGGGCCGGCAATATGGGTCACGACACGACAACATGACTTGAAAATGACACGAATTTCGCGGGTTAGGGTTGAGAAAAAAGAGGTTCAGGTCAAAATTGGGTCTACCTGACACGAAAAATACAGTTTCGTGGTGGACCCGCCTAACCGGAACACGACACGAAACCGTAAAAAACTAAAATATATATATATATATTTTTCATTAGATATTTTTTATTTTAGTTTGAACTTGTGATATCATGATAGTTATACTCAAAATCTTATACTATTATTTGCTTAATTTCAACAGATGTTATTGTATTTTAGTGTGTTATGAATTATCAATAAAGTTATATCATAATACATTTAATGATTATCAACAAAGTTATATTAAATAATTAATTACTAATTACTAATTATATTATATATTAATTAATAATCAATAAATAGATATACTTAATAACTAATAAATAGATAGTAATTACTTAATTATTAATTAAATGTTAATTTAGTACTATTAAGTTTTTAATTTTGTTAATAAAAAATAAAAAAATATAGTAATTCTTTATTTAGTTATAGATTAATTAATAATTAATTAATATATCAATCATATATTATGTTAATTATAATCTATTAATTAATAAATAGTTGGTAAATAAAAAATAAATAGTAATTACTCAATTAATATTTAATATTATATTATAATTATCAATATGTAATATAATAATAATAATAATTAGTAATTAATCATTATATAAAGAATAATTATAAAAAACAGATATATCAAATAATTGATTATTAAATAAACAATTGCAATTAATTAAGTAATTATTTAATTATGTAACTAAAAGTTAATAATTACATATAATCTAATAAATATGAGTACATTATTAACATAATAATTACTTATAATTAATTGTTATTACTAGTTTTAATTATTTAGCATATTACTAATATTATATATATAGTTTAATTACTAATGTACTCATTAATAATAATCTATCAATTATTATTATATTATTAATATATTAAATTTTCTTTGCTAAATAATTATCAATTATTAATTACTTTATATATTAATTTAAAATTATTAATTACGAAACTTTATTTTTTTTTCATTTTGATTCTTTTGTCTAAAAAATGATTTAGTTCTTCATTTTAGTTCTTTTTTTATCCTTTTTTATTTTGTGCTAAACTTTTATTTTTTAATTTTAGTTTCTTTTATTTTAAAACTATTTATTTATGCATTTTGGTCTTTTTATGACCTTTTTTTGTTATGAAATTTTATTCTTTTTAATTTTCATTTCTTTTACCTTAAAATTTATTTATTTTTAGTTTTTTTTAGTTTTACCCTAAACTTAATTTTTTCATTTTAATCTTTTTGTTCGAAAATTTATTTATTTTTTCGTTTTAATCCTATTTTGACCTTCTTTTTTAGCTTCTTAGGAGACGTTTAGTTCCTAAATTAAAATCATGAGATTAGAACTATTTTTAATTTACGTGTATTTTTTATGAGAGAAAATACTATAGCGAACCATGAACCATAATTCAAATCATGGTTTGAATCCTCCAACTAAACGTCCCTTTACTTAAAATTCTATTTTTTTGACATTTTTCTTTTTTGGAATTTTATGTTCATATTTTTTATGTTTTTAATAAAAAAATAGAGATCCGATAGTGCGTAAAACCTAAGTCTGTTTTCTCACAAGTCATGACAACAATGGCGAATGACGAAGAAGAAAGCAAACTTCAATGTTTTCTCCAGTGGTTACAGGTACCCATGTCTTCCATTCGTCTCTTTTGCCTTCATCTTTACACAAATGTGTAAACAAATGTGTAAAAGCTACACTCTTTTGGCTACTCCTGGTGCTTGTTCAGGTTAACGGAGTCCAACTTCGCGGTTGCAAAATCAAGCTCTGTGATTCGAATAAAGGGTTCGGGATTTTCTTCGTTAATGATGTTTCTTCTGATGGTAATCCTACTCTTTCATTGGTGTACAACTTTCTGGGCTTTTGATTGTCTGATATTTCAGTTTTTAAGTCCCACCCATGTCTTGGTTTTATATTTTTGATGTAGAAATGATATGATGGATTCAATCATGAGTTTCTTTTTTCTGTCCTCCATTTTCTCTCGTGTGAAACTTTGTGGGGGCTTTTTTCTTATTTTTATTTTTTTAATGATTTGCTGTGTTTTTACTCTATTTAGTTAATGCAGTTACGGGGTTGGGAATTCTAATTTGATTGTCCAATATTTCAGTTTTTTAAGTTTTACACTGTGAATTCTGGAAAGGTGAGCAGAATTTGCTTGGTTTACCTTTTGGATATAGAATGAATAAAGGACACAGTCGAGTTTTTCTTTTACCCCAGTCTAGGTGTTAGTTTACAAAATCTACCAAAAGCTTAGGCTGTAGGCCTGAAACATATTAAAGACACATGATGACAATTGTATAGAGTGCAACTATGAGAATTTGAATTCAGGATCTCATTCTCTGATACTATGTAATTCACCAATTCTCCGAAAAACTTAAGTTGTTGGGAGATGGGCTAACAATATTTTTGTGCTCTAGAAAAGTTGTGTCTGTTTGTTTTTTTATTATTTATTTATTTTTTTTAAGTGTCAGTTCTTTGGCCTGCCTCAGCTACCCTTACAAGTTGAGAAAATAGTTATTTATTTGACTTTGTGAATGAAAAGCTTTAGGGGTTCTACTAGTGGTTCCACTTAATTTAGCAATAACACCTATGAGAGTGCTGCAAGATCCTCTTATTGGGCAAGAATGCAGAGGAATGTTTGAAGAGGAGGAAGTGGATGACAGATTCTTGATAATCTTGTTCTTAACTATAGAGCGCCTCCGTAGGAATTCTTCGTGGAAGCCGTACGTATATTATACTACATTCAATTGTTTAATTTTGGGAGAACTTAGTCACTTTTGTGTGGCCAGGATTTAGTTTGTGGTGAAATATCATATTAGGTACCTCGATATACTTCCAAACACTTTTGGTAATCCGCTTTGGTTTAGTGATGATGAGCTTTCAGAGCTGAAGGGAACAACATTGTATCGAGCAACAGAATTGCAGGTATCGGATCTTTTGGTATTTTCCCACCTGTTAAATGTCAACATATAACTTGTTTTTCTCACAGCTTTTGACTATGTACCATTTGTAGAATGTGAAAATGGGTGTTGCAGGCAGAGATAATGTAGCCTTGTATCCATTTTAGGATTCCTCAAGTTGGGACCATTTCATTTTTGTTTTGAGCTTTAACAATAATTAATATTTATGGCCGAGTAAATCCTTCCCATGGAATACTCATCATGCTCTTACCTTTGAACTATTTCATGGTTTAGCCACTTCATTCTCTGACTTGTAAATCTTATGCCGTCCGTGAGGCAGTTCCACAGTTTTCGTAAAACTGCTAAGAACAGTTTCATAAAAACTAAACAGTTTCATGCATGCGAAATCCCAACGTTCTCATATGCTTTGGCAAACAAGTAGTTTATCTTAATTTGCAATATGTATGACCAAAATTGGTTTATCTTACAGAAGAGAAATTTGCTGTCTTTATATGATGATAAAGTGAAGAGTTTGGTGAAGAAACTTTTGACTCTTGATGGAGGTTCAGAAAGGTGTGTGTGAAGAGGATAATTAATTGTTATGATTATTATTATTATTATTATTATTATTATTATTATTTCATTTTTCCCCCTTTCTCCATGTTTTCTTTTTCTTCATTCTCTTCTTTGATATGGAAAAGATTATTTGGCATCTTAAATAGTTCATATAATTTTGAATGAGTAGAGTTTTGATCTCATCACATAAAAATTACACAACTTAGTATATGATAATTTTGTGCTTTAACCCAATCTCATGAAGATGGCAGGATTATGCTTCCTTAACTTCTTGCTTGTTATGTGCTCATAAGAATAGAATTTAGAATTGTAAAACCAGTGTTTTTTCATATCTTATTAGAACTTTACGGTGATTGGTAAATGAATACATATAACTTTTTGCTTCTTTGCAGAGAGGTGTGCTTTGAAGATGTCCTATGGTAGATATCTTCTTCTTAGTCTATGTCCAATTATAACAGTTTATACCTTGGTCGTGGCTTATGTCCTGCAATTCCAATCCTACTAGGGCAAACTCTGTATTTTGGGCTCGCGCTTTAAATATTCCTCTCCCACAATCTTTTGTATTTCCACAAATTGAAGGAACAGAATATGGTAGCTCTTCAATTGAAAAAAGTACCAACTTGTCCACAAATAATTGCTTGGGGGAGTTTGTCAAAGGAATGGATGAAAAAAGTGAGTCATCTTTCTCTGAGACTGATTCTTCATGAACAAGTCATTAACATCTTTAAAATGTTGCTAATAAAACTTACATGAAAACTTTATGTAGGATATCAGCTATATGAGGTTGATAGCCAAGTAAACGGAGAAACATCCACTTCAGCACAAGGGGAGACTGTTTGGGTTGAGGGTCTTGTTCCTGGCATTGACTTTTGTAACCATGGTATTTGATATGACCATCACAATCCTGTAATCCATGGAATTGTCTACTTAAGTTCTCTGTATTCTGTAGTTATTATTTAGCTGCGTGTTTCATTCCCTATCTTTCTACAGTTCAAGAGTCTTTTCCTATGTTAGCTATTGTTTAGAATCCAGTTTTTAACCTATCTCATTAGGGCATGTTTAACAAACTGTAATGGGAAAGCTAATGGGTTTGAAAAGAGAAGCTAGGAAATATGTTAGGATCCTTTAATAATTTGGGGAAGTTAGTTTGATTAGTAGGCTGTTAGAGTACATTTTGTAGTTTGTTAGTAGTGCTTATAAGAGGGAGAATAGTATAAAAAGGCAGGAATTAGGAGTTAGAGGGGAGGTCATTTGGGATTTTGGGAAACACTTTGGGAGAGCCGAATATGTTAGAGCCCATGTCCCTCCCATCAAATTCGTCTACTCCAGGAGGAACAAAAAGGGAATATCTATCCCTCAGGGGAGGGCGGCATAAGTTGGGAATTGGCTGACCTGGCACGCCCATTGGGATTCGGATGGGTCATGGTTTCTGTCAGGAGTTAGTTTTGCTCGGGGAAGTCCGCCAGGGGGAACGGGTTATATAAGAAGACTCGTAGAGTAGAGGGAGGTAGTTTTTGAGAGAATTGAGTCTTGAGTCTGTGGAGAGGAACCTCGAATTCCTCCTATATGTATTTCTGTATTTTGTTTGTTCTAATTTCCATTCAGTAATAAAGAAAACTGCCCAGAAGTTCCTGGGTTCCTGTTCTTGGGTTCAGAGCCACCGATCCTATGGCTATCGTCCCTCATGAACCTTGCGTTGCAGATCGAATTTCTATGGTGGAGCATCAAATCGAAGACGTCCGAGACACGCTTCAGATCGTGGGAGCCATAACTAATCGGGTACCCCAGCTGCACGAGGATGTGACTCGGTTGGACGCTAGTGTGGGGGAGTTGCATGGATCGATGCAGAGAATCGAGGAGATGTTGCAGCAGCAAGCACGGCTGTTGGATAGGGTGCATCCAGAAAGGGGACAGGCTAGGCATCCCAATCAGACACCACCAAGGCGGGAACCCGAGAGAGATCGGGCGGTTCCTCGAGAAGAATCTTTGATTCGACGACGGGACGGAGTGGGAGCCCAACGCCAGATCTCGCCGGTACGTCACAGGGGCCGAGGCGATTTTCGCGGGAAGAAGCTGGAGCTTCCGCTCTT